GAAAAAAAAAAAAAAAAAAAAATCATTTGAATGTTAAAGCAATTGTTCAGAGTCTTGAAGAAGAAACCAGTCAGGAAAATGCCAATAATGATGATTGGCAAAATCAAAATTGGAAACAAAGAAACTGTTTATCGAGCCGCCGACAAAGAAATCTTGCATGGAGACTACAAGTCTGGAGTTTCTGGGATGAAATTGTACAGGAATCTCAGTCCACAGTTTCCTCAATCGCTGCGGAGACGGAGCTGTCACTGAATCTGACAGAGCCCTGCACTCCCCGGTCCGCCGACCCTGTGGAATGGTGGAAACACAACGCAATCAGGCCTCCTAATCTCGCAGCGATCGCGATGTCTTTTCTTGGAGCTCCGCCAAGCAGTGTTCCCTCCGAGAGGCTGTTCAGTTCTGCTGAGGATCTCCACGGAGACCATCGCTGCAGACTTCTCCCCGAGAATGCAGAGAGGCTGGTGTTTTTTATTTTTTTTAATAATGCAATTTGCCCAGAGTAAACTACAGGTATTAAATACAGTCTGAATGATCTCACCAAAAACGCACGAATCATGCTATGGAGTTTGTACTGTAGTCAAATTGCACACAGAAAATACAGATATAAGTTTAAGGTTTCTTAAACTTTGTGCATATCTCAAATAGATTTGCATAAGGTCATCTAATAATGGCCATAAATACGCTATGAATCATTTTAATTTACAAAAAGATTTTACAGCACTGTAAAAATAAACGTGGCAAGATTTTTTCAATCAGGTTGTCTTGTCTGATTTGTCATAGTCCATGTTTGACAAACATTAATAGCTACTATTCGGTATTCAGTCGAATACCAAAAAAAGTGGATTCGTCACATCCCTAGTTTATAAACCAGTGAAATCCCAGAAACTTATGGAGAAAAGTTGGAAACAGTATCAAGTCTACGTGGTGCTCTCCAATTTACATAAAACAAATAAGACTTTTCACATGGAGGTACAGAATAATATCAATTCTAAAAGTCACACACACACACAAACACACACACACACACACTAAGGAATACTTCAATTTCACACAAATTATTGACTGAAAAGCAACAATGATTTACAGAGACAAACAAAAATACATGAAGTACAAATAATTCTTTAAAATTGTTTTTAATCAAGGAAATGCAAAGCAACATTATAACAACTCACCTTTCTGTAATCCAGTCTTCACTGTAGCCTGAGGAACTGTTTCAACCTGTTTGGACAGAAAAATATGGCATTAACGAGGAATTATTTTCACTTTTAATTAACAGAGGAAACACGAATACTTCCATCAATCTAAGTAATGATGAGTGATTAATGTATCTGAAATCTGAACTTGGTCCCATCTGCTGGGTAAAGTTCTCTGTCTCAAGGTCAGGGAGGATTTAAATCCTAGCTGCCTGTGCTGAGTACACAGCCACATGCTCTCTAGCAAAGACTCCCACCATTCCCTTGGTAGATGAAGAGAACAAGAATGCTTTCCTCAGTGTCTGGGAGGCAGGAGAGGGGTTGTTTCTGCAACCAGCCCGATGTTGCTATAAACCCCTCCCGCCCCAAAGACGTTAGGATAAATTTTTACTTACTATGATACTCAGGTTAATGTAACTCACGCCACTTTAAGACCCTTCCGCGCCTGCACTCACAGCTAAGTTGCTGGGAATCAGGACCCTCTCTGTAGAGAGTGCTACAGGGCTCCATACAGCTGGAAGCTCAATACTTTTGCTGCTAGTACAAACTTAAGAAAATAAGTTTGTGATATTGCAAAAGCACTTTCTTGAGTGTCTTATGAACAGTGTCTTGATCCTACATTAGGAGAGCGAGATCAGAAGTTATTCTGCCAATGTATGTAAAACACGTGGTAATTTTAGGATTGAACCATTGGAATTAAAGAAAGGATGCTGTCTGGAGGAGTTCCTGTTTAAGCTATAAACTGAATTTTATGTTTCTTAAAGATGTAGTGAAATATGCATGTTGAAACACATTTTGTAAATATTTAAGGATTGTTCTAAGCTTTTAAAAATATTTTTATTTTTTTTACAACAGGTAAAAAAACATACAACAGAAGCGCTTTTATAAGATACAATTAGTAATACAAATATAAAATCTTCTAAACAATCACTGGTACTGTTCTACTACTAACTATAACACAGTGGCATTAACAATTTGTCCCATTCGGTACTCATTCTGCTTATTAGTTTTAAACTGACTGGTCACAGACTGAATCTGGAAACCAGCTGGCAAAATCACAACTTCATTTTGGTAACGAATATTGTAGGTTTGCAAGAGCTTAGAAAGATTTTTTGGAATATAATTTCCTAAGTATGAAAGTTAATTATGATAAATGAATGACAAATTAGTATATTACTGAAATTTTAAATATTTCCGGGAAAATTATTTTACATGCTTGATGATACCATAGAGCGCCCACAAAGTCACCTTTTAAGTTTGGAAGTTTATAAGGAAATAAATAGGAAAGTTCACACTCTTCCATATTAAGTGGTTTTAAAAATATAAAGCTTATTGGAACTAATACCATTCAGAAGTCTTTTTGTTTAGCAGCTGTCTGGACTGTAAAAATGGATCTTCTTTCAGTATAAAACATTAAGAAAAATTCTGATTGCGAGTTTAACTAAAGGGAGTATGGTTTCTAAAAATGTCTTTGAAAAGGTAATTTAATATGAATATCACTAAATTGATTACACTGGTGTAAAACCCTTCAAAATGCTCCTCTTCCTTTTACCCCCCCACTTGAAAAGTGTTTATCTGATAACCCGACAGCAGGTGAGTGCAATTCCATTGTGAAAATAACATTCCAAAAAATCTGTGATACCAACAGAAATCATCTATGATCATCTGTTTCTTAAATATAATTCTTGTAGTTAAATTAATTTGATATGTTTAAAAAATAAAAAAAATACATACCAGCAGCTTAAATTTAAAAAAAAATAATTTTTTTTAAAGGAAACTCATCGATGGTTCCAATAAAAATCGTGAAATCATTTTGCTTGTAACAGAAATCTGAAAATAAATGTGAGGAATTCCTTAAGTCTTGCACCACTGGCTTCCCATCTCCTGAAGCCTGACTGTGTTCTGTGAAAATGCTTGAAGCAGAATCACAGGGATGGCTGGGTTAGAATAGGGCAGTGGAATTTACCAGGACAGAAGCATTAGATAGTTCAGAAAGGAAACCCAAAGTAGAGAAAGTTTTTCTTTTTTTAAGATACCAACATAAGCCACAAGATTTACAAATACAATGCTTTAACTCTCTACATGTAGGAAGCCAACCTGCTCCTTTTTGATCTTCTTCTTTGGCACAACCTCAGTGGATTTCTCTGATTCAGAACGAGTTCTAATTGATCTTCTTTGTTGCTTCTTTTCTGAGCCTAAGAGGTAATTTAAACAAACAAATAAATAAAAACTCATTTAAGGATGGCTTGACATTTGTGTAATTAAGATTTGACCAAATTCCCTGTTTTTCTGATCTATTACTTTTGGTCTTTTAATTTAAATTACTAAAAAGCTATTAAATATTTGGGAGCACATAAAAATTTTTATAAGATCAAATTGTAAAGGCTGATAGCTTGAGACTAGGATTAATAAAGGACCCTAAATTTTACAAACGAAGATGGACTGGACTTTTTAAAATTATAAAGTCACATAGTTTATTCTTCTTAAAAGCAGATAAACACATTTATGTAACTATAATTGACGAGATGAAGGGATTGAGGGGATGGATGAAAGTGACTTTATTCTCAGTTGACCTTAGGAATTACTGGTTCAAAATTCAATCAGTACTACACATTTTGCATTTTAAGAAATGGGTTAAATTAATGATATGTGTAAAATGCTTAACAGTGCTTGGTGCATTTATACAAGTTTTGCTACTGTTAAATTATTAACAACAAAAGGGGGAAAAGCAGGAAATGCACAACAATGCTGACCAAAACCAAATCATTAATGTGACTATCAAGGGGTTTGTTATAATTTAGAAATATTAATTATGGAAAACTAGTTGAAACAAATTATCAAGGCTTTCATGTTCAATGGTAAAACAAGAAACTATTAAGATTTCTAAACAGTAAAATTCTTTGAAGGTAAACAGAGGACTCACATGGACCCCATTTTGGAAAGGGTAAAACTCAGACTGAAGATCACAACTTGAAAGAATACTACGTCGGGAATGACCGTCTGTGGCCCTGAGAAGGAGCAATACCTTCAGTGCAGCTGTTCTCCATCTTTTTGGAGCTCCATCTAAATGGTCCTTCCTAGGTAATAACCATCTTTCACTTACCATAGGAGAAAGCTTCTAAGACTTCCTATAAAATCAGGCATAAGCTACTTCAGTAAAGCCTTCAGATCACCTGTATATTATTTGTTTTCATTGTTCTTGTTTATTTGTAAGTAGATTCCCTCACTTTAGTTCAAGGCCAAAACAAAGAAGATTCCACTACTTTTATTTTGGGGAGGGAGTAGGTAGTTTGATAACAATATATAGTTTCTGAGCTGTGGTTAATCATTTCTAGCAGAGAAGTCACAAATGAAGGTACTAGCTCCTTCCTTTACTCTCATTTTTCTCCTTAACACTGATGAAAATGTTCACCAAAACAACAGATACTCTACCCTCACAGACACATGAGTATCCAAAAATCCATACTTTAGTGTAATCATCAATATCAAGTACCTACGAGGGAAGAAGAAAATGAAAATAGAACTGCTTAAAACAAACAAATATCTTTACTTGTTTTGAGGATGACAACATAAATGTTCCATCAAGTAGATACCTGAGGTACTGTCTTATAGAAGATAAGGCAACATGATGTCTTAAAATTCTAAAAGCTACTTATATAGCACATAAATTTCACTACATTTAAAGTCACTAAAAAGTATGATGTTTACGTTAAGACAGAGAAGGTAAGCATCTTTGGGTTTGGAACGTAGCTTAGAAACCTAGTATAAATGCAAATACAATTCTGCAACCACAGAAATGCAGCAATGCCACACACTCTATGCATCCCCCAAATTTACTAGGAATTCTCAAGAATTCTCCCTATGTAGTTAACATCAGTTGAGATAATGATGATGTAACAAGTTTCTGAAGGAAGATCAAGTCTCTTTTCTGACTTTCAATTACAGGCATACCTCAGAGACATTGTGGGTTGTTCCAGACCACTGCCACAAAGCAAGTTCTAATTTTTTGGCTGGTGGAGGGTATTGACTTCAATTTGGAAGAAACACAACATATGTGAAGTGAAGTAAAGTAGAGCGCAATAAAACGAGGTATGCCTGTACTGAAGCTATTTTCACAAGAAGCAAAATGGTCATTTAAAACAACAAAATACAGCCCGGCCAGTGTAACTCAGTGGTTGAGCGTCAACCTATGAACCAGGAGGTCACAGTTCGATTCCAGGTTAGAGCACATGCTCCGGTTGCAGGCTCGATCCCCAGTAGGGGGAGTGCAGGAGGCAGCTGATCCATGACTCTCTCATCATTGATGTTTCTATCTCTCTCTCTCCCTCTCCCTTCCTCTCTCTGAAATCAATTAAAAAACCCACACAAAACAAACAAAAAACATTTTTAAAAAATCAATAAAAATATTTTAAAAAATAAAATGACATATACTTATCAATCACAGTTGGTAAGCAAATTTAAACCAAGGTGAAAGCTCTGGTATATTCATCTCTATATTAAGGTCCCAATATTAATTAACAACCTAATTATATGTGCTTGCCTGGGAAGAAACTGGGCTTTTTCCAGATATAAAGAATTATAAAATTCCACTTTACCTTTCATTTAAAAAAAGTTAAGAAGAGAGAAAAAGTCCATAGCAGAACTTAAATCTTACAATGAAAAGACTACATGAAAATAAAATGTTCAGTGGCTGAGAAGGAAAGAAACCAGCTCCATTAAAAATAAATGTATAATACTTAAGATTAGTCTAATATTATATGAAGAATTTACTTTCTCCCTAGTTAGGAGAAAATAGATGTTTAAATAAAGATCCTCCTAGTCTAAGTATCACATTTAAATTCAGATAAATTACCAACAGTTTAGTGTAAAGGAAGATAACAAAACTGATTATGGAGAGCGGAGGCCAAAAGATTCTAATATTCAAAGAAGGAAACAAACATTTTCAATTATGGCTAATTAATGCAAAATCTAAGTCCATTTATTCATTCCTTCAACATAATAATTTCATTATTTTTTTAACAGTGTTTTGATGTGATAGGTAGTAGACAGACAGGCATAAACAGAGCAAGGACCAGAGGCCCAGTACCGAAGGTCACCAAGGGGGAAAAGCCCCAGGTACCTAGCAATGGGCAAAAGTGAGAAAAACAAGTATTGTGTATGGTGGGACCCTCACCCCCAGAGTGACCTCTTCTCTCCCAGCATATCACTGGTCTTGAGGTTTAGACCCTCTGATCTTTCATACCACTTGTCATGCGGTTCAGACCCCACTTCTCCACAACCTTTCCTCCCCTGGCATGTTGCTACTCATTCAGTAGATTCCCATAGAGAAGGATTACAGGTGACAAGAGAATAGCCTCACCTGACTCCCATACAAGCCCTTGCACGACCACTCCCTTAAGCATTAAGCCCTCAGAACAATGAGGTTCTGACTTGCATCAAATGACCTCATAGGCAGAGCCTCAGGTCTGCTGACGAGAGTCAGAGTTTTGGTCAAACTTGAGATGACATTTAGGCCTCAGTTGTTTCAGCTCCAGGCCCAGAAAAGCAGCAAACCCAGATGAAACTATGCCATGTCTGACATCAGGAACAGATGCAATAACTAATGACCCCGATATTGTGCTGAAAATCAGTGGATACCACTACACTGAAAGCACACACCTAGAAAGCTGATGAATATTCTATTGAGCTACTCCCTTGGGACCTCTCCTAAGATCCCCACCTTTTGAGAGCAGATAAAAACCCTGCTAGCACCCATCACCTGCGAGCACCTTTTCCCACCCTCTCCTTCCCTCAAGCACATGCTCTCCACCTTTTTCCTAAGTTCCAAGGGCCCTTCTTTTGCCTCTGTAACTCATTTTCTGAACCCTCGCAGCCCAGCTGGCTCATCTTTTCTACCTCTGTGACTTTCTAAATAAACTTTCTCTTATAATTTGAGTTCCTTGGCTCTGAATTCTTTCTTTGCCAAACTTAACTACGAGGCTGCTAAACCAAGGTCTGGTAACATTCTGATTCTGTTTTGTCACTAACAGATACAAGCTGCAAATCTGGTTCTAGACTTTGCTATTCCCTCCTTACTTTCATATGGCTTCCTTTTCCAACTCAATTTTGGATAAAGGCATATTGTTTAATATGCCTGGTCCAACATATGCCCATCTCTTCTGACACCACCTCTCCCTGTCCTGCAGCCCCCAACCTATTTTTTTGTTTTAAAGAAAACTAGCCCAAGTTCTTTCCTAAACAATGATTGTTTTTACTTAGGTTTTATAGTAATAAGAATCTTACTCAAGCCTGGCCCAGTGTGGCTCAGTGGTTGAGCATCGACCAAGGATCCAGGAGATTGTGGTTCGGTTCCTGGTCAGGGCACATGCCTGGGTTTCGGGCTCCATCCCCAGTAGGGGGCTTGCTGGAGGCAACTGATCAATGACTCATCATTGATGTTTCTCTCTCTTTCTCTCCCTCTCCCTTCTTCTCTCTGAAGAAATAAAGACATATTTAAAAAAAACAAAAAAAAACAAAAAACCTTCCTCAAAATTCCCTTACAAAAAATATTTACCCCTTAGTGCCACTAAATCACAGGTTTGCCTGAGTTAGTAATGATTCGAGATTACTACCTCAGGTCTTAAGACTTTAATCCTTCTCGAAAATTATTTGGTCACTTCTTAGATTCCAAAAAAGTTTTTAAAGAACAAAGTGAAACAAACTTCTTTCTCCTAAACTAAGATTCCAAATGGCCAACTTGGTTTGATATCTAACTCTTTACTTGATGGCTATATGAAGCAGTAATACTGTTATATAAACCTAACATACCGGACACTCAGTTAAACTATAAGATCCTTAGTAAGTCAGTCCCTCAATAAAAATTACTTTGGCTATTCCAACAGTCACAATTTTACTGAATATAGGCATTTGCCCTATAAGCAAAAATAATATAGCTTGATTTTCAATTCATGGTATTGTGGTAGGCAGCTAGACAGACATAAGCAGAGCAATGACGACTGGCCAGGTACAGGATACCAGGGTGGAAAGCCCCAGGTGCCTAGCAAAGGACAACTGTAGGGTGGGACCTTGCTCTCAGGGTGACCTTTCCTCCCCTAGCATATCCCCTGGTCACGAGGTTTGGACCCCTCTGACCTTTCCTTCCTAGAGATAACATCGAGAGGCCTCCATTGCATTTCAGTTCCAGGCCCAGATAAGCAAAAAAACCAGCCACAGCTGACCTCAGGACCAGCTGCACTGAATAATGACCTCCGGCCCTTGTGCCAGCCAACCAATCAGTGGAGACCGAAACCCAGAAAGGACACACCTGGAAAACTGTTGACTATTCTATTAAGATCTTCCCCTGGGACCTCCCCTAATCCACTCGTGAAGTCCTTGAGACAGAGGACCCCGTGTACTCTCCCTCCTGGGAGCTTGCCAGAGCCTATGCCTTAGCCTTTCCCATTCTCTTCCCCCTTCCATTTCCCCTTCTCCTCTCCCTCCCAGGTACCTTACCATCACCTTCCTCACTCCCAAGCTCCAAGGGCCCTTCCTTTGCCTCTATAACTTGTTTCTTCAGTCCATTTCTTCTACAAATTACTTCTTCTACCTTTGTGATTTTATAAATAAATGTTCTCTTATAGTTTGAGTCTTGGCTCTGAATTCTTTCCTAGCCAGAACTCAAGTCCTGATGTTGCTAAACCCAGGTCGAGTCTGACCCCAAGGGTCTAAGACCGAGTGATGGCCCCACCTGAACCTGTCTCCAAGGCCCCCTTTTCTCTGCTTTCCCAATGAGCCAAAGCAGCCCAGCCTAGGCCCTCTTGTTGCTTCTTCTATGCCCTTCCTTGTTTCACTGTCCTAAGTATATTTTTGCTGTGGTCAATAAATTCTTGCTTGCTTTTCTAAGCTTTGTCTCTTGACTGAAATCGTTCCTTCAAGAAGACAAGAACTGAGGTATAGTCCTCTCGTCGGTAACACTATTTTTAAATTCCTATAGGAAAAATAACTGTTACTATAAACTCTCTAGCCCCTAAACCACTTTCTTATTGAAATAATTGCTTTTATTGTTTTTTTAAAAATATAATTAGATTTTTATAACTAAAAGTTTCTTAGGAACATAGCTACCATGTTATAGCAGAGCAGAACTATAACCTCAAAATAGATCAATGTACTCTTCATTCATACCAACCTGCAGAACAAGATGTTGCTTCAGGAGATGATACATTCTGAGTTGCCTTTTCATTTCTCTGGTTTGGTGTAGAAATTATAAGTCTGTCTTGTCCCCTGACACTTATTTCCGTTTTGTTACCAATTCCCTTCAAAATAAGGCAAATAAAAAATAGGTATCAATGGCTTATAAAAAAATAGCTTAAGATTATAATTTGCTTGAATTTTATATGGCCTTGATCACAGCTAATTATCTTAGTCATTATCAGAACAATTTTATTAAAAGTCATTTGGATGTGTTCCAAAATGTACAATGAGATTACGTGTGTGTGGGGGGTGGGAGATCTATATGTCTAAGTCCAGATGACGAATATCACTAAAAAATGTGTTTCACATAATTTTCTATACAAAAACAAAGTATTTTCTGATCTGAACAGTCTCTCCCTTTACTCACGTCACAGTAAGAGAACTCTAGGCATCTTCATTTGGTAATGTACCCTACCTACTACACATGTTGTTGAAAGTGTCAACACATGTTGAAAGACAAGAACATCCATAGATACAGAAATATGTCACTCATGGTAACCAAAATGTGTACTCAATAAGCAATTTGAAACAGAGAGCTTTAAGTATTTTTAATGCAGTGAAATAAAGGAGTGATTTATAAATATATATGTATTTTTAAGCCTTCATTTATAAAAGGTCAGTTTTATCTCAAATTTCATTTACATAGCACTCTTTGGAGGAGGTTACAAAAGTCTGATTTGTGCATCTAAAAGCAGATTAAAAACTAGCTGCAAGAATGGAGCCAATCTATGTTCAAAAAAGATGCAGAGTACTCATTTGCCATTCAACGCTATCAGCAGAACCAAGTGGGAACTGTAACTTAAGTTTTTCCAAGTAGTTTAGCCTTAATGAAATCAGTAGAACCTATAGGAAGAAATAGGTAAATAGAGGAGCCTTACACTTCTCTCTAGGGAAATATATCAATAATAAAGCATACCTACATTTAATTATTTTAATGTGCATGTGACAATGTTAGGAAATACAGAACTCTTTAAAAAGTACTCATCCATGAGGTGCTACTAACTCGAATTCACAAGCCCACGATTGTGGTATTGGTGGGGGGGTAGTAAAGAGGTCTACAGAATAAGAATTATAAATCTTATGAAAGAGTTTTAAAGTATTAAAACTAAAATATAAGTTCCCTATATGGGGGCCTGGGGCTGGATGATGGAGATATTCAGTTTGAAGAAGCTATTTTCACCACATACCCAAGCTATCGCCATAGTTAATTGTTAAAGAACTAATGTAAGTTCTGGTTATTTCTCCAAAAAAATTAGGATCCCAAGCCAACATGAGCTTAAAAAAACTGCTGGTGCAACCAAACAGATCGATCAGTAGGTACAATTATTACAAAGGTTAATTCAGATAACTGACAAAATGATTTAATGAGAAGCACACTTTTCAACTAAGAAAAACTAACTATACAAACTAGAAACAGGCAAAGTGACCAGTTTTTTCCACAACTTTAGGGAGCTAGTCCAAATTTTGGCTGCACAGCTAAAGATTAATCAAGTACAGATGGGGATATTATAAAAGAGGGGATGGGGGAAGAAGAAGAAAAACAGCCTCTTTGCCTATGTCTTTTTTGCCCCATCTGAAACAGACTAATAAACTGGCTGTACATTTCAATGAAGTGGATAAAAAGGGTAGTTAAATTATGACCTGGTGTTGTTTTTTTAAATACCAAGGTTAACTAGTTATTAAATACTGCTTCCTGGGGAAAAATAAAACAAAAACCAAGGTGAAAAAAGGAGGTACCTTCGTTGAATAAACAAACTGATCGATAAATTTCCCATCTCCTGTAGCATTCTGAAGAGCAAACACTTGTTCAATTTTCACAACTGGAGACATGTTGCACTTCTGCAAATCCAAGCTCCCTTTGTGCATTGTAATAGAAGCTGGTAAAGATTTCCTGGCTGCTGCAGTTTTCCAGGCTATTTTAACAGGAGGTGGCTCTTCCTCTTCCACACTCGTGTGCCGCCTCTGGCTATGTCTCCGAATCTCAGTACTTGATAGTGAGGAGGCCACCTCACCTGCATTGGTCTGTTCTGGCTGAGTATTCAGCACTGATCTTGGTCTCCGGGGTTTTTTAACTTCAGCTTTGGAGGCAACATTCTTTTTTGCTTGAGATAAAGCCTCCTCAGGCTGTTTATCAATATAGATAAAAGTATACTGTTCTATTCTTTCCTCTCGGGTCATTTTCAATGCTTTCTCTGCATGGGCAATGCCAATATCCCATTGAGCACGTTCTCTCTGTGGGCGAGGTTTCCGAATCTTTAAAAAGAGATATAGGCATTATCAGACACACTTTAAACTAATGAGTACATTTAAACCACAAGGTATTTCCCAGTGAGCCTGCCATTTCTAGGTATACATAAATATCTTCAGGTTCTTCAGTCAAATCAGTAAAATGTTCTTACTCTATAACTTGGATAAATTGGTATTATTATCAGATGACATGCAGGTCTTCACTCATTTATATTTCCTCCTTTGTTGACCACCCTGCTGGACAAGTCCCTCAAAGAGGGAGTTGTCCTTCTAACATCATCTTCATAAAAAGTTAGCACTAATGACGACAAAGAGAAGAGGAATTACAGAAATGATTAATTTCAGTGGCCAATAAAACACTAACATTAAGAATGATACCCTAAAGCTCCAGGGTGCTACAGAGATCATGACAAAGCTAGCTGGCATTTGAAGAGCCAGCATTTGAAGCTGTGCTGCTAGTTTGTACCATAATGCAGATGGGGCAGAATGAAGAGAAAGGACAGAGCCCCAAGGAACAAATGTAAGCTGTTAAGACACAGCAAAGCAGAAATGCATGAAAGAAAAAGTAAACCTGAATCAGAGTTTCCACAGGTATCTATGTCCAGGGTTGATAAGAAGACTTTGGGTTGGCAAGACATGTAAGGAAATTTTAATAGAGCTACGTGAGATGAACAAAGGATTTAGGAATTATCCAGGGGGTTAGACTGAGATAGCCAGAAATTAGCTAATGAAACTATAAAATGGTATAGTATATGTCAAAGACCGATGTATATAAATCCATAAAATGTTAAGTATGATAAAATTAATCAAAATCCTCTGTGATCAAATTAGCTTTGAAAGTGTAAAAACATGACAAATTTCTGAATCACAAGAGACCCACACTAAAATTAGTTGAGTTTAAAAATCTCAACCAGACAGAGTATCACGAGTTCATATAAAAATCCTAAAATATCTACTGCCACATCAAACATGTTTCTTGGTTCCATCACCTGTGTGACCTGAGTTGAACCAGTTACTAAAGCTTTCTGTGCCTCAATTTCTTCATTTGTAGAAACAATAATAGTATCTACCACATCTGAGTGGTTATGAAGATTAAATGAATTAATATATATATATATAAAATGCTTAAAACAGTGCCTCTCTCACAGTAGGTGCTCACTAAATATTTTTAAAGCTTTACGTTCATAAAATATTTTGCTAAATAAGAATGAAGGAAAATTATGGAAAGATGCTGAAATAGAAAAAAGAATAAAAATCCTTGGCAAAATCCATGTTTCACTAGTATCTACTAGACTTACCTATATTAATTCAAAATAGACTCCAATGTTGTATTAGAGCAGACAAGTAAAGTTTTTAATAGTACTATAACACTGTTCATATGACGTATAAAACTATTGACAGAATAAGTTATTAAAATCAAAATAAAAGAAATTAAAATGCCATTCTAACAACAGTCTGAATTCAAGTATTAAAAGTTCTACTAAATTATGAAGTCCTTTTAAAAACTCTATTAGATTGATAATGTTAACACGTCAGTTACCTTTTGTTTCTCAGAGTGATTGCTGGCTTGTTTGGTTGCCTCAGCCAGTAATTCTTCATACTGTTTATGACCTTTATACTCTCGTACCCGTTTTTCATGAACCCATGCCCTCTCTGGTTGGTTGCTAAAAAACTGGACATGATATTCCCGGGCACCTGAAAGTAAAAATCCTTATTAACCATTTCAGAACATAAGTATGCACATATACTTCGCAAAAAACATGAACCTAAGCTGTTCCCTAGTATTATTCCCGTCAAAAGTTGTAGTTTTGTAGAAACTATCTACCAATTATATAATTAATAGTTATTTAAAAAACTCACCCCAAATGACTAAAATTAGTACAGCAAGTTTTAAGAGAAAATTATAAATTCTGCTAATTATCAGATTTGTTATGTTGGTTGCACAATTTATTTTTACTTGCCTCCAAACTTTTTACAAACAAATCTGAATAAATAAATTTTCCATAAAAAAAATGTATAACAAGTGCTGGTCAAATTGCTTTTCTAGCTGTATAGAAGTATGGTATAAAGACCTGAATTTAAAAATAGGAGAGGCCACTGAGACTCTTTCAGGGATCCTGTGAGGTCAAACTATCTTCATAATAATATTGAGATGTTATTTGTCTTTTTTACTCTGTTGACATTTGTACCTAATATTGCAAGAGCAATGGCAGATAAGAGTGCTGGCATCTTAGCACAGAGAGGCAATGAGTGACACCAAACTAGTGTCACATTCTTCACGGCCATACACTGGCAGTTAAAAAAAAGCCAGTTTTGCTTCATGTCCTTCATGAAGCAGTAAAAATGATTAACTTTACTAAATCTCAACCCTTGAATACCTATCTTTTTAATATTATGTGTGATGAAATGGGGAATATGCATAAAGCATTTTTGCATATGGAAGTATGACGGTTATCTTGAGGAAAAGTACTTGTGTGATTGAGTTGCTGCAAGGTGAACTGGCCACTTTTTCATGGAATACACTTTTTACTTGAAAGAATGACAGAAAAACTATGGTTGTTTGAACTTGAGCATCCCGCAGATACTTGCTCAAAAATAAATAGTTTGTCACTTGAAGGAAAACAACTGACAACATTTGTTGCCGATAATAAAATTTGGTCTTTCAAATAAAAAGTAGAATTTTGAAAAACTGGTATCTGCCCCTACTAGTCTTCCAACTTCCCAATAATCAAATAATTTTCAAATGAAATAAGTGGTGATGTTAACTAATGTGATTTTTAAAAATATCTATAAAGAAATGTGTCAACATTTGGAAGGTATGTATGACTTAGTAAGCCAGTATTTTTTAAATGGCCAATCTATATATGATGTTAGAAAGTCATGAAAGGTTAAACAGCCATTCAAAGTGCAAGACAGAACCAATGGGTTTTAATTTAACAAAGTACAAAAAGTTTATCAATATGATTTCAATTTCCACAATGCAATTAACCCACCACCTGTTGAGTTTTGGTGTAAAAACAAAGAAATATATCCACAATTATCTAAAAAGGCTACGAATGTACTCTTACCGTTTACATCTACATATCTGTGTGACGCCAGGTTAACTTTATATACTTCAATCAAAACAAGTCATGACAGATTGAATAAAGAAGCAGATACGAAAATCTAGTGTCTTCACTTAAGTCAGACATTAAAGAGATTTATAAAAATGTAAAACGCCCGGGCCATGTGGCTCAGCTGATTGGAGTTTCGTCTGGTACACACCAAAAGATTGCAGGTTTGATTTTCGGTCCGGGCACCTTACAGGAGGCAACCGATTGATATCTCTTTCTCACATGGATGTTTCTCTTTCTCTCCCCACACCCCAATTTTTCTCTCTAAAATCAGTAAACATATCCTTGAGTGAGAATGAAAAAGTAAAACAATCCCATTTTTTTCATTAATTTTTTTGTTTGAGAAAACAGTTACTTTTCATCAAAACACAGTAACATATAGTGGGTTCTTCTAAAATAAATTAGAAAATACTTAAAATTTTTCTCAGCTTTAATTTCTAAATTAAAATAAATAGTAATAGATAGAACCCAATGTAAACACAAGCTTTTTAGAGTCCTCAAATTTTAAGAGTAAAAAAGGCTCTGGGACCAAAATATGTGAGAACAGTTGCTCTAGAGTAGTGCTACTCTGAAAGTATAGTTCCCAGAATAAGCCAGTCTGTGACAAAATAAGAACAGAAGTTAAGAGTGAGCATCTATGATAATTTGACACTGCTGTGGCATCTAGACACATAAGCAGGGATCTTACACTTTGTGTTTTTTGGAGGGGGAGGCCTTTTGTTTCTCTAATAGTTAATTTTATGGTATTTGACAGAAATATTGGTCTATGGTGGACTGGAAATTAAATAAAAAAGAAAGACTTTTACCAAATATAGTTTCAAAAACACTGTTCTAGAGAAAAAGTCTCAGGTCAGTCGAGAAATATAGAAACTGGTCTTTTTGGGGAATCCAAGAGAATTCACGTAAGGAGAGAAAGACAACAAGCAGATCCTGACTAGAAAAATGTGGGTATTATGCTTAAATTGAACTATTTTATCTGAAGTCAATTACATCTTAGATTTGAAAATTTTTAACTTTATTAGGAATTAAACAGGAGATTATGTAAGGAATTTTGAAACGAGATTAAAATTTCATATGCATAGAAGTAGACTTTCAACAATCTTTTAAAAAAATCCTGCCCCACTGATGCTTTCAATTACCCCAACCTTTAATGGGCAGGTCACAATGACGAGATGATTGTCTTCTTTAACAGGGCACATTTCTGGCTGTTCAGCACAAGAGCTACAGATATGCCTGATTCTATCACGAATCTGGCTTGCCAGACTTATGCAGGCACTTTTTCTCCTCAGAACAGTGAACAGGGATCAAGACACAAAGTTTAGAGTGAGAGAGAAAAAAAAGTTGTCAAAAACAATAAGGAACTCAAACATGTAACAAGAATGAGTTTGCAAAACAAAGATCCAGAAATAAATTCCAAACTCAAACCTTCCTCTGGCTACTAAGCAAGTCCATTCCAAATGGCATCAGGAATCTAATATACATGCTTTGGTTAAATCCAGGAAAAGGAGTGGAGAAAAGTTAGAACACACTTTTTCTTAATATTCAACATTTCTAAGGTAAGATTCCATGCTATATAGATAAATTCAAGCTATACTTCTATGTCATATTGAATTTATAAGGCTATCCCAGTAAATGTAGATTCAAAAATGGAGTAGAGGAAGAAAAAATGTCCTGTAAAATTTATCAGGATAAAAAGAACTTGTCTGGCTAAAAAATTACTACCCACAGGAGTCAGTGGATGAAATTAAAATGATCAAAATTTCTTGGCCCAAATGCCTATTAAAACTCACATAAGACATCTTATTACTTATCCATCTGCTTTCTTTCAGAATTCATATGAGAAAGAAATTATAAAATAAAACAAATAAAAGGGTGTTAAAGGGAAAACAAGGACTATATCACTTACAAAGGCTCTTTGCCAGTTAAGATGTCCATAAGCATTTCACTGGTTATTAAAAACTGATGTGGACATGCATACTGATGTTAGATTATATGTCATGTGTGTATTCTTATATTCAAATACAACATTTAAGATTCACTTTTTTCTTTCCTACCTTTTACTTAATCTGTTATTTAGTATCTGTTTATACCTTTTCTTACCTCTTGTATTAATTTTGGTATGAACCTCGAGCTGGGGATCGCTTGAAACCATACAAGGCCACCAAGGATAGGTTCCAACCTTAGACCAAACAAGATCGCCGACCTGGAACTTAACACCAGCGGAGACTTCTGTTGTTGGAACAGAAGATAGTATCGGCTGAACCTATAGGAAAAGGTCATAAAACTTCATCAGCAGAGAAATTTTAAAGAAGAAACTATGTACGAAGTACATTTAACAATAACAATCCATGTAAACTTTATCTTCAATTATACTTTTCTCTGATACCTGCTATCCATAACTGGCAAAAGGGGAGAAGAGAAGAGGAAAATAATAAGCCCAATTCCAAATATTAAAATTAGGATTCAATTTCTTTTGCCACATTATTGATAAGGTATCTTGAAAATTAACATAATCTATTAAAAAGTGGTTATAGTTTTGAAAAGGAAAATAATTTCCTCTTAAATATTTCCTAAAAATATCTTCCTGTTAAACCAGCTCTAAGATTTATTTCAGTATAACCTCTGAAATAAAGAAGTATGGGGCTGCAAAGTGAAACGTGTTGTAATCTAATCATCCTGGTTTCACCTTCTTATGCTGTACTTGGTTCGACAGTATTCAATAAAGCAGCTCACCGAGGTTTCCTCTTTTAGCACTGGATCTTCTCTTGGTTTTTCCAAAGCAGGCTCAACTCTCTCATTTGGTCTCTAGGTGAAAACGCATAGGTAAAAAGAATAAAATGGCAAACCAAAGAAGAGTAACATACACAGAAAGAATCAAAGTAAACTAATTAGTAAAGAGAATAAAGGACACTTATTAACTGGATAATGTAAGGAGTAAGAATACAACTCATGCAGTACTTAATGCTATGTCCTAATAGTCATTTTCTATTCTACACCACAGCCACACCTTCCATTTCTTATTTTATTACTTTTAAAACAGAATTTCTTAATTTGCTGGTTTTGGGGTCCTTTTAAACCTATCAGAGAGCAGAAAAATGGGCACTCTGAGATTGCTAAAATGTAACTTGGAGGTTTTTCTGGAGAGCAATTTGGCAAAATGTATGAAAAGCAAATCCACTTCTAAAAATATATATTGAAAAAGCATTTATATGTGTGTGTGTGTGTATGTATATATATGAAGATAGCAAACCAGTGCTATTTGTATGAGCGAGTATTAGAAACAGTCTAGATGTTCAAAATGTAGAATTTGTTAATTATGGTATAACTAGATAGTAGAATAATATAAATAAATTTTAATATGACATGGGAAAATAACAATATAATGTTACTTAAAAACAGCAAATTGCAAAGCAGTTTATATAGTATGTTTCCAGCCTTGGAAAAATAATTTTTTTATGTGCACAGAAGAAAAGACTAGAAAGATACCACTATGTGATGGAATAAGTGATTTTTTTTGGCGTGCTTTTCTGTATTTGTCAAATTGTCTATAATAAACACTCCGTTACTTTTCTAATCATAAAACCCACAAATCTGTTATTTAAAAATGAATTTCTACAATCCCTTGAGGAGGCAATTTGGAAGTATCTATCAAAATTCAAAATACGTATACTCTTCAATCTAGTACTTATATTTTAGGAACCTATTCTACAGAAATATACAAAATGAGAAAATCTAAGCAGAGGGATGGTAACTACAGATATAGCATGTCAATAATCTACATGTCTGTCTACCAACATCTTCCTACTTTTTATCTGATACATTATACACCAAATTAATAAGAGCAGCTATCTTTGGGAAACAAGATTAGGGAAACATGAGGGAAGAGCTATACTTTTGTATTATTTGCATTTTCTGTAAAAAGCAAATTACTTTTGTAATTAAAATTTTTTTTTAAGTTTCTCACTTGTCAAAGAACAGAATTTAATTTAGATGGCTTAGAAAGAGGAATATATCCATCAAATACGGTCTGAACTCCATTAAAAAAATGTCTAATTTTATTTTTTTATCCTCACCCGAGAATATGTTTATTAATTCTTAGAGAGAGGAAGAGAGAAACATCGATTGGTTGCCTCCCCTAAGTGCCCTGACTGGGAATCAAGCCCACAACCTTTTGGTGTAAGGGACAATGCTCCAAGCAACTGAGCCACCTGGCCAGGGCAAAAAACATGGCTAATTTTAGAAGCTACTCAAAATTCTCATTCAATTAAGACATTTAAAATACTGTTGTAAAAACAAAAATTTATTAAATAAATGAATTGTAAGAAGGTTTTTAACTGTTAGGAAATGTTAAGCTACACTAATATTATATCCCAACCCCCAAGTATTAATCATTCATTCAATAGTGCCTACAACTTCCCAGGCACTGTTCTAGAAGCTGGGTATACAATGGTGAAACAAACAGATGGAATCCCTGACCTCAAAAAACTTTACAGTTGGGTAGGATAGACACTAAACAAACAAAACCACAAACACATACTAATACAATGTAAATGTATGAGGAAAAATTATGGTGTGTGGGTGTGTGGGGGGTGTAAGGGATTGAGTGTGGGTGTGTATATTTTTAGATACAAAGCTCAGGAAAGGCCTCTCTGAGAAAGTAAATCTAAAAATCAAAGGGAGGGGAATTAGTCTAGTAGAAAGCAGGAGAAAGAACAGTCCAAAAAGAAGTGGAACGTGTGAGATCCCTGAGGTTAAAAAAAGGTAGAAATTTCAAGAAGGCCATTACAACGGACTCAACTGCCCCAAGGAGGAGAGAGGGTGCAAGATGAAAGTGGAGAAGCAGGCTACATTACGAGGGCCTTGAGAGCCATGTTCAAGTGTTTTATCTTCAGCGCAGTGAAAAACCACCGAAGAGGATGAGGTAGGGAAGTAACATGCCAATTTGTTTTTAAAAGACCATATTAGCAGTTATGTGGAGAACATTTTGGAAGGGAGCAAGAGGGGAAGCAGAATGTTTAATAGGAGGTTAATAAAAATAATGGAAATGGCCCAGGTGAAAGAAGGTACTAACAACTTGTTGATGGGAACAAAATTAGCTTTGTTAGATGCATCTGTGGTGGTACCATAAGTATCTAATCTAATAGGACACACTCATTGAGCACGGAAAAAAATATCTATGTTCAAAAGAAAAAAGGTTTTTTCCTGATCACTAGTGTAATAACAAAGCAGTTTAGAAATACTGTTCATGCTTGCATAGGCCCATTAGGTAGTTTCATTTCAGTCTATAGATGTAGCTTACACCTTCCCCTCAGCTTCTCACTCTCAAGCTATAGCAGAAAGGCAGGGCCCCTTGAGGAAGCAGTATGGAGCCAAGAAAGCGAGTCATCCTCCTCACGTTGAATCTTCCTGATGTCTGGGTGTAAGGAATCTCTATAACTCTTTTTGAGGGCAGATAGATAAGGAATAACTAATCTTTGCCAAACAACAGAATCCTACTATTGTAAGAACCTGTCTGAACCCCATTAACTTTTTTCCCTTTCTAGATTAAAGACAGGATTGCCTTCAAAACTTTTAAATTACTCAAATGTCTTATCTTTATTTGATTTTTTGTTTTGTTCCAAATCATTCGTGTTCCCTTCAGGCTGGATTGAAACACTATTAAAATAACTTTCCTAGAACTAAATTTTTTTACACTTTAAAAGAATTTTTAAATTATTTAAAAGAATTTTTTACATTTTAAAAGAAAACAAATGGCAAAGTAGAGAAAGAGACCAAAGAAGATTTATTCTAGCTTTCAAGACTATATAACTAAAAGGAGGAAAAAAAGGTTAAATAAGGATGCTGCAATGACAGAAAGGAAATATATACATTGAAAAACGTACTAATGCATAAGCAAAATGGAATTATCTAGGAGGCATTTAGAAATCTCTGACGAGCTCAAAAGAAAGGTAAGAGGATAAACCAAGAGATAGCATAGTAACACAAACAAAAATTGAGAGAAGTTTTTAAGACAAAATGGTCAACAGAAATCAAATGTTTAGAACTCAAGAAAAATAAGGAGTCAGAAAATGCCAACAGGTTCAGTAATTTTGGGTATGAAATCCATTTTCCTTTAGTTGTTCAAAGGATAGATAAGCTTAAAAGAGATTAAAATCAAGTAAGGGCAGAAAATACCTTTTTTGGTAACTTTTTTGCTTAATTTTCAAAACATTAAGCAAAATCATATTTTCTAAAAGAGCAAAAAATTGATGTCAACATTTAAGGTGAAAAGAAAATTTTAAAGGCAAAATAAATTGTTCATTTTTTTTTAACTTTCTGAATAACTGCTTAAGTCCATAGTTTTAAAGACTAAAAAATCTGTACAAGAAGAACATTTTGCACGTGAACAGGTTCTAAAACTTTTAAGACCTAATACTCTAAGGCTAGGGAACCAAATATAACCTCTAAATTAGTGCTAATGGGACTGAATCAGCTATTTGGCTTTTTATAAGTGAAATGGCAAGCTAAGAGTTAATGAGACTAGCATTAGTGGAAAAGCCCAGAGGTGCTGGTGCAAGACCAAAGTTTGAACAGGGCCTTCACTCACATGCCTGAGGCATTACACCTGCCAAGGAGGAAGAAATGCAGAAACACTTCCACATGTTTCTAATTTGGTGGGAGGAAAAACAGTTAAAGCAGATTTAAAAAATATACAGTTTCAGTAGTGATCTCAGGTCTCCTGCTGCCTAGATGTTTGGACACTTTTTCATTGTTGAGAAGATATATGTAGGTTGTTCCAAATAACAGCCACTCTTTAGAAGGCCAAACAGCTCAGAATTGGGAGGAAATATTTGTAGATCAAATACTGAGGGGGGGGGGGGGGGGGAAATCTTAAAGTGAGATTTTGTTCAAAAAAAAAACCTATCAGCTTGAGGAAAAACATGCCAAACTTTTCCTCCAGGCACACAGTTCTCATTATGCTTCCCTAAGGTACTGGGAGAACGGAACTATCCAGTGGTGTCAGCTCCCTTACTTGGACTTCACTTTCACTCCTAGGCCCTTTATAATGCTAAATACCAATGGTTTGGGCCCCTAGTGACAACCAGGAAGCACAAAGGTGTCAAAAATTAAAACATTTTAAAACACTGTCCTGAAGGAAGCAAAACAGATATTCTAGTTAAGGAAATGTAATTAAAAAACATATAAGGTTACAAAACATTAATTTGTGCACATCACTAGTCATCTGTATAGCTTAGTAAAAGCATGATAAAGCAGGACACTAACAACAAGCAAGAGCCTTGAGAGCTCTAGCTTTAAAGTTCTATTGTCAGAATAAAGTACAACTTTTACGGCACCCATTTCTTAAGTTTCTCACTGTCTTCCATGTGTGACAAAATTTTGATTAATCAAAATTCAACTTATAAGAACTTAGCTCTTCACTTCTTTGAAAGAAAAGGGAGGAGGGAAGGGAGAAAAAGAAAAAGGGAGAGAAGGATGGGGGGAGGGAAAAAAGGAAGGGGGAGGGAGCGGGAGCACAGGGAGGAGAGGAGTGTGGGAGGAGAGGGAGAAAAACAAGAAAAAAACCTGAATTTTCCCAAAAAACTCAACTTTCAGGCTATAGTTCTGGTAATATTTAGTGCAATCAATGCCACTTTCTACATTTATTCCTACAAATTGACATTCCTTAACCTCAAGATATTGTAGGATCCTAAATAATGAAATATTAACTTATGCCTCACATGATTTACTAAAAAAGAAAATGAACCACAACTCTTAAATTATATCTAACCATTCTAATGCCTGGATATAATAGATGACTGAGAGTTTAAGTGCTATAAAGCATAGCAGATATCCAACAAAGACAGAGATGGCTTTAAAATCTCACTGCAGAGTGATTACTAGAAATCCTTGCACTGAATTTTTCCTAGATTCCAATAAAGCAAAAAGTAGATATGAAAAATAGCCTGGCTATCCTGCCTTTAATTGCTTCCAGCACTATTTCTATTTTGAGATATATTTTTAACTAATTTTATCAATAAAGTCAAAAAGTCTAGCCTATTAAATAAAATTAGATAATCTCCTACTTGCCAGATTCTCTACAGCAAAAGCAAGATGGGCCAGCAGGACAGTTCTCAGGAACTGAGCTAAAACCAAATTCGGTTTTGTGCATTTTGTGATTCCCAAGGGTCATAGTGCATCACATACCTTTTCATTTCAGATTTAGGAAAGAAATGCTACAGTGAATGTATCTGGAGTACAAAAAGTTAACTTCTCTCCTATTTATTCATTTACTTAATACACAGTCAGTATAAGATACTATGTGAGGTAATTTCTGTGGGGGACATTTAATAAACGACATAAGAAATTAAAAGGCATTTCAGAAACCACTTAGTTCCAAAGCCTTCATTTTACAGTTCTTACAAAACTAAGGCACCATAATAGCTAAAGTGTCCCTGATTACTCTTTATCTTATTACCTGGTTTCATTTTCTTCACAGTACTTAACACTATCTGAACTTAGAAATGTACATACTAGAATAGAAGCACACAAAAAGCAGGCATCTTTACTCTTCATTCATTGCCCTACTTTTAATTCTAAGTGTCTGGCACACAATTGATCTGTTAAATGAGTAAATAAGAAAACTATAGGAAAAAACCCCACATATTGAAATACCACATTCGAACTTGTTAAAGTGTAGAATCAATGTGATCTTTACTCCAGAAAAAGATCACATTTGAGTTGTATGAAGTACTGGAATCCAGCTATCAAGGAAAAAGTGAGCTGGTAAGAAGTAAACATTTATTTGAACAGAAAATAAAATTAATTTAGGCATACCAGATGTAAAAGCAGACAACTGTCAAAAAATAAATAGATATTCGTTTCTTCCCAAATCAATATCTAGAAAGCATCTTCAATTCATATCATGTATTAGAATACTAACTAAAAACTCTTCATTCAAGCTGTAATTGATTTATTACACGCCTATTATTATTATTAAGAAATTCATACTGAAACCTCAGATATTAAAAACTCCTAGAGGAAAACATAGGCAGTTAACTCTTAGACATTATTCTTACCAATATCTTTTTAAATATAAATCCTTGAGCAAGGGAAACAAAAGAAAAAAATAAACAAATGGGACTATATCAAACTAAAACGTTTCTGCACAGTGAAGGAAACCATCATCAAAATGAAAAGACAACTTACTGAATGGAAGACGATATTTGAAATTGATACATCCGATAAGGGGTTAACATCCAAAGTATATAAAGAACTCATATAACTTAATACCCCCCCCCAAAAAACAAACAAAACCAAATAATTCAATTAAAAAATGGGCAGATGATCTGAATAGATATTTTTCTAAAGAGGACATACAGATGGCGAACAGACATATGAAAAGATGCTCAACATTACTAGTCATCAGGGAAATGCAAATTAAAACCACAATATCCCCTCATACCTATCAGAATGGCTGTCATCAATGAATCAACAAACCAATGAACAAGTGCTGGAGAGAAGGAGGAGGAAAGGGAGCCCGGGCATAAGCCCTTTGGTAGGACTGTAATTAGTGTAGCCATTATAGGAAACAGTATGGAGATTACACAAAAAATTAAAAATGGAGCTGCCATACAATCTCGCAATTCCACTTCTGGGCATTTAACTGAAGAAAACAAAAACACTAATTCAAAAAGATATATGCACTCCCATGTTTACTACAGCATTACTAGTAATAGCCAAGGTATGAAAGCGATCTTGATGTCCATCAAAGATGACTGAAGATGTAGTGTGTGTGTGTGTACACACACACACACACGCGAATATTATTCAGTAACAGAAAAGAATGAAAGCTTGCCATTTGTGACAACAGGGTATTATGCTCAGTGAAAGAAGTCGGACAGAGAAAGACATACCATGTGACCTCACATATATGTAGACTATTAAAAAAACACACAAAAATGTATAAACAAAACAAAGCAGAAATAGACCGGTAAATACAGGGAACAAGCTGATGGGTTGCCAAAGGGGAAAGGATGGAGGGGGGTAAAAAAAATAAGTAAATGTAGAAAAAAAAAATCATGCCTGAAGGTGCCCAAGCCACATGAGGGATCACAAGATTAGGTGTTACCATGGTTCTTTCCACTGGTGTGTGACACTGATTACTAAAACAAAGAGTGTGAATAAATATGAACCAAAAACTTAAATGAGAGCAAATGTCTAGACCTAACTACCAGTTTACAGGAAATACAGGGGACTGAACTTGTTAAATGATGCCATTAGGACGCAATCAACAAAATCCAGAATATGGGACCCTCTGAAGGAGAAATATCCAGTTTCTTAAATAAATACATTGTAAGAAAAAGAGTGGTGAGAGGAACCTGTAGATTTAAGAAGTCCTAGGAAACATATCTACCAGATGCAACATGTGGGCGTTCTCTAAACCCTGCTTTAAGTTACTTAACTAAAAAGCAAGATTTAAAAAAATTTCAACAGCACACATCTTAAGTTACCTAAGAAGGATGCCTTTGATAAAAACTGCACCTGAAGTTTTAATCAATATATATGAAAACAAACTCTGACTTTAATCAAAAGAGTTCCTCTATTACTTCAGGTTATTTTGTAGCAAACACATTAGTAGTGCTAAATCTAGGATCTACTGGCAAAAGTTGGTCTAAAAAAATAAAAAATATAATTAACCATCTTCTCTTTGCCTTTACTCTTCGTCTTCAGAAACAAGTTTATTAGAAGCAAATAAAAGTGAGGCATTACACAAAGAAACATAAAAAGCAAGTTTTAGTGCCACATGTGTTAAAATATTGCTTCACTCTAATGATGTCCATTCATTTATTCAATAAATATTTTCTCAGCACCTATTATAATATCCTAAGCTCCTTGCTAGGAATTAGAAGAAGTTATCAGAAATATTTACACTTAAAGAGACTAAAAACTGAAAAATATCTCTAGGACTTCCAGGAAATGTGAAATAATACAAAAGTTTTCAAAAAGATGTTTCAACTTACACTTTGTTCCTCTGGTTCTAATTTGGGGATTTTGTGTGACTTGCGCTCTTCAGATCTAGATGAGTCATGCTTGTTGCTTTTTTTCCTTTTTTCTTTTCTACTTTCATGCTTTGACTTTGTGTGCTCACTTGCCTGTACTTCATTTAAAAGGTCTCCACAGAGGGAAGACTCAAATAATTCCCTGCCATTTTGGATAGTTTTGGTTATTTTTAGTTTAATTTCAGGTGAGCCAGTCTTCTTTGGAATCACAGTTTGTGGTACCGAAGGAGGAGGTGGTAGCTGTGGAGGAGAAGGTTTTTCCAGAATTTCATGTGGTCTTGTGTTTGGAATTTCTGAATGGTAATAGTCAGTGGGGCTAAAGTTTCTAACTGCACCGAAGCCATTGGCTGACCCATTGGGATACTGATTATAAGACGGGTATTTGGTTTGAGTTTCATACATGCTGATTGATGGTGGATAGCCATTTGTGAGTGAAGGAAGATCTTCTGTTGTAGGTGGGTACTGAAAGCCTTGCTGCAAGGTAGCTTCGTATGGTGTATGGCCACCATCTTCAACAATGTCACTGTTGTTATCAAAGGCATCCTCCTGACGGATGTTGACGGAGTCAATGAGTTGAGGTGGTTGCTGAATTGTGTTTCCCATGATCCCTTGCATGAAAGAGAAAGAGAAATCCATTGTTCTGCTCCAGCATCCTTAACTTTCCCTTTCTCTCATCGGGCCTGAATTTTAAAAGAGGAGATTAAAAGGTGTTAGTATCTTCACAAGCTAAAAGCTAATCAATTGAAAAAGGATTAAACTAAATGATTCTGAATCCAATTTTCGTATCCAGATATGAAGAGACACTAAATATTTTTAAAACAGGTAGCCAATATAATTGTGACATGGGACATACACTTTTTTATTTTAAATTCTTATATGCTGAAAACTCTCCATTACCTTCACAATAACTTTAGTAACAATTTTTATCCTCTTTGCAAACATGCAAAATAGTTTTCTGTTTCCTAAGTTAGAGGTTTTATTTCTTATGTTAAACCTGGTATTTGCAATATAAGCAGTCCAGATACATATAAATTAGGTTCCACAAAGCTTCCTTTAAATCATTCATGTTCTGTCCAGTGGTTCTTTTGTTATTACAAAATAATAAAATCTTATTGGAAGTATTGCTCACCCTTTAATGCCTATTGCTCACCTCTCCATCATCCCTATTCTTCTGTTATGAATAACTACTGTAAACACCTTCCTGGGTATTCTTCCAAATCTTTCCTTCATATACTTACATATAAAATTTTACAAATAGGGTTTATTCTGTGACTTGCTTATTCAACTTAATATAGCCTATATATCTTTCTACATCAGCATGTGTAATTTTCATAATACTTCATTCTTTAAATGCTTGCATAGTAAACAACCGTGGTATCTACCATAATGTATTTAACCAATTGTGTACTGACAATCATTTAGTTGTTCACAATTGTTTGATATTATAAACAGGTCTACAGGAAACTTAAAACTGTATTTTTGTGCATATACGGGAAAGATTTGAAATTCTGAGATACTGCAAAACTGTTCTATAGTTTGTACTATAGCAATTTACATTCATACCAATAGTGTATAAAGATGTCTGATTCTCTATATTCTTGCCAGTATTTGTTTTTAATCAGTAGTGTATATATCAGATCATCTGGGATACTTTTACAAATTGCATATGTCAAAGTCTATGTGCTGATAAATCTAATTTAATAAATCTGAGGTGAGACCTAGACATGAGTATTTTTTAAAATATATTTTTACTGATTTTTTTCTTAGAGAGAGACGGAGAGAAACATCAATGTGAGAGAGAAACATAGATCAGTTGCCTCCCATAAGCACCCCAACCGAGGATCAAACCTGCAACCTGGGTATGTGCCCTGACTGAGAATTGAACTCCTGACCTTTCAGTGCACAGGATGAAGCCCAACCAACTGAGCCAGACTGGCCAGGGCTAAAGCATGAGTATTTTAAGACCACATTCCAGTTGATTCTGATGTACACTCTTTTTTGAGTCATTGCATTATACTCTTAGAATTGTTACACCCCATCTAGATGATGTCTAAAGATGACCATGTTACGTAAGAATGTTATAATACAGAGAAGCATCCGTTAGGAAATGCTCTAAGGCCACTCTGCTTTTTCATATGGTTTGAAGAGCCTACATCTTGAGACAGAGGATTAATGGACAGTCCGGATGGTATTTTGATAATTCCATAAACATTTCTTCTAGAAAGCTCTAAGGAAGAGAGGATTTCACTACTGTATAAAGTCTTATAAACTGATTATAGCTACGTGGGATACTATGAAGAAGGATTCTAAGGCTACAGCTCAGTTCAATTCTGTGGCTGACTAATAATGTCTACCATCTCACCCTGGCCAGTGTGGCTCAGTTGGTTGGAGCAATGTCCAGTATACCAAAAGGTGGCTGCCGGTTCGATTCCTGGTCAGTGCAAATACCAAGGTTGGGGGTTGGATCACCAGTCAGAGCGCATGCAGGAGGCAATCGATCAATGTTTCTCTCTCTCCCTCTCTCTCTTTCTCTCTAAAAATCAATAAAATTAAAAAATCATAATAGTAATGTCTACCACCTTGATTCTAGTAGGATTTAACATAGTTAGGTAAGTAACCCAAAACAGAAAAAGGAAAAGGGGGGGAAAGCCAATAATACACTTTTAAAGGTATATACAATTAAACAACTGCTGTTTATTCTCCTGTGAGCAAATGGAAACAATTTCAGAAGTTCTAAAATTTCAAACAAATGCATATGAAAGCATACAAAAAATCAAACTGCCCATACTGCTCTACAGTGGATAAGGGGGTGGAGGTGTCAGAGAGCAAGCTCATTTTTTTAGCACCTACTCGGACCAAGCACTTTATACATTATCTCATTTAATTCTTATAACAACTCTGTAAGATAGGTATTGTAACTCCTGGTACACAGGTAAACGAAACTGAGTTTCAGAGGGATTAGGTAGCTTGCTTAAACCACAAAGCAAAGGGGGCAGAATCAGGATTTGAATCTAAGCATATATGACTCTACGGTCCATTATTTTTACCGCTATACCACTTCCACTTCCCTCAGCTATAGGTTTTTTAAAAAGTACGTTTTTTAATTGATTTTTATTTTTTAGAGAGAGAGGAAGGGAGAGAGAGTCAGAGAGAGAGAAATATCAATGTGAGAGAAACATCAATGTGAGAAAAACATCGAATGATTGCCTTCCACACCCACCCCGACCAGGGATCAAATGGCTACCTTTCTATTCACAGGATGATGCTCAACCAACTGAGCCACACCAGCCAGGGCACTCAGCTAGGAGTTCTGAGAGGATTCATTGCTTTTGTTCATGTACTTTATTCTTTGGTCACTGCCAAAATAACAACTATTCTATAATAACCATCAACAACACTTATGTCATGCTTAGCCTGGGGAGAGGGCTCAGTGGTTGAGTGTGGACCTAAGAACCAGGAGGTCACAGTTTGATTCCCAGTCAGGGCACATGCCTGGGTTTCAGGCTCAAACCCTATTAGGGGGCGTGCAGGAGGCAGCCGATCAATGACTCTCATCACTGATGTTTCTATCTCTCTGTCCCTCTCCCTTCCTCACTCTGAAATCAATAAAAACATTAAAAAAAAAATTTTTTTTTTTTAAATATATCTTTACTGATTTCATAGATAGAAAAGGAGAGGCAGAGAGAGATAGAAACATCAATAATGAGAGTCATTGACAGGCCGCCTCCTGCACGCCCCTGACTGAGGATTGAGCCTGCAACTCGGGCATGTGCCCTGACTAGAAATCGAACCCCGATCGCCTGGATCCTAGGTCGACGCTCAAGCGCTGAGCCATGCCCAGCAGGGCTAAAACATTTTTTTAAAAATCATGCTTAGTATATTCCAGGAACCATTCTAAATGCTTTACATACAATACTACATTTAATCTTCCCAACAACCTTCTAGTAGATATTAATATTAGTTCCCATTATAGATGGGGCAATAGAGAACAGAGAGGTTAAAGGACTTGCTTAAACGAGCAAGGCTAGTCCTTAAATAATAGAGCTGGGCTTCAATCAAGGCAGTCTGGTTTCAGAGTCTGTGATCCTAACCAGCATACAATATTGATAATGCTGCATTAGAAATTATTTCTTCATATATAGTTTAAGAATTGAAACATTACCCTATTTTGACCCTTGGCAAAGATGTATATAGCTCACAGACGCAAGAAGGGTATGCTCTAAAATTCTGTAAATACACATGGGGCAAATTATACAGGTGGAATGCAAAAGTTCTTCCAACTTCCAACTTGAAGGCAAGTTAAATATTGACATTTGACAAGATGCGACCTATGTTTTTGGTTCTCATTCCTGCCAGATACAAGATCAGCTTCCAGATTAGCCTCCCAAATTATACAGAGGTAAACAGAATCTCAAAACAAGAAAACAATCAGACAAATCCAAAATATAAAACATTCTCTCAGACAACTGGCCTGAGCTCTTCAAAAACCAAAGGTGGAAAGACTATTCTGAATTTTTAAAAACAAGATTGAGACTACCAAATTCAACGCACAAACTGTGATTAAATCCTGGATTTAAACACACACCCATAGGTTAAAAATATGTATTTTGGAGGAAACTGAGAATTTTAAATATGAACTGGCTATTAAATACAGCTATTAATTTTCAAGGGTATGATAATAGTGTTCTGTTTATATAAGAGAATGTCCTTATTCTTAGGAGAGCCATGCTGAAATATTTAAAGTGTCATGGGATTCACAACTTTCAAATGGTTTAGGATTTAAAAGTACATATACCTAGAGTAAAACAAAGAAGGCATAATGTTAAAACTGGCTAATCCAAGTGTGGACTCTAATATTCTTTTACCTTTCTTAAAGTTTTGAAAATGTGAAAAGTAAAAAGTTGGGAAAACAAATAATCTGACTAAGGTAAAGTGGTAAAGCCTGCATGAAATCTTGACACCATATTCTGACCAGCTAAGCCAAATGGTCCATACTGTTATATTTTCAAGGAAGTCTAAGCATGAATATAGCCACAGGTTTTCATATTATCCTTCCAAATAATACAATCATGCAATCAAGAAAGTAGTTTTGATCATTTTTTTTTAAAAAGCTATTTTAGGACTATAATGAAATTCCTTTACAGTGATTTTTATAATTACTGGAGTTTGGCAGCCAGCCTCCAAAGAGTAGACATACTGATTGACATCGTAGTTAAGACCTCACAGAATTAAGGGGCTCTCTAGTGAGCATAGGCTCAGAATCAAACTGACAGATTCAAAACCCAGATCCAAGGCTTGTCAGCTATACAACTTTAGGCAACTTAATCTCCCTAAATCTCAGTTTCCTTATCAAGAAACTGTAGATACTTATAATTTTCTGTTTACCTTGTGTTGTTTTAAGAATTAAGAGTTAATCCATGAGCAATACTGCAACAGTGCCTGGTATAGTTAGAGCTCAATACCTGTTGGCTATTGTAGAGTGCAATGTTGAGCACCAGAACTTGTGAAAAACTTGAACTCTGACCTAAAGGCATTTACAATAGTATAATAAACTAGATAAGATTTTATCAGCAAGACTCATAAAATAATAGTGAGAAAAAAAGATGACTAAGAATTAAACTAATGTGTTACCATTATAATTATAAAAGACATTTGAGAAGAACAATGTTTACTAGGAAAG